GCATTAATTGTGGAGGACAAAGCCTCTTCAGTAAATGTCTGTTTTTTTTTCAATCTGTCATCTTCATCATTTATTGTCATCCAGTTAGGATAAAAAAATAATTGATATATGAAGGATCCTTGCCCCACTTCAGGTAAAACACTAGAGAACTCCACTGTAGTTTTTTGTACATAGAGTAACCTCCCTTTAAATTTGCTTAGGTTATAACTATGGTGTACCATATTTCATCGGCAATAAAATGAAAAGTCAGGTCGTCAGTGCTACGCACGGCATATGCCGTTTCTCGTTCTGTAGGTTTTGATCAAGCCAGGAAGTGTGAAGTCAGGTTGTTGCTATTCCAAACCTTAACGTGTATAGTAGAAGGCTTCTGATTGGTTATTTTGTCATTACTTTCGATATTCCCGGCAGTGTACCCTAGTAATGACCAAAGGTGTGCGAGAGAATTTCAAATCAAAAATAAAGTAATAAAAATGGCGGACGTGTAGATTAAAGCGATGAATATGATGGTAAACATTTATTCTCCAGCGTCACCTACGATGATAATAAAGGTTTTGAAGGGTTTGACATGGTTTGGACACAGCTTCAACAACTGTCAAAAATACTTCTACATAATTTTCTCAAGGCAGGTGTGTCATTTACCACAGAGAAATGACCTGGTTTTACAGATTACCAAAATAAACCCTGATGTCATGAGTCGCTACCGACGTACATTAGAAGTGGATTACAATACACTTATCAGTTTTCAATCTAATTAGAATTCGTAAAAATACAGTTCAACATTTAAAAATTAATCTGTTATATTGCAGTTATTATTAGACTTTGTACAGCTTGAATGAAACTGACTATAACTATATACAGCTTCAACATCAAAGGGATGCAGGCTGTGAAAAATGTCAGGTTGGTAAGATTGCTATTTAGATATACCCAGCAGATGACCCGTACTTCAAAGGAATGGATATTTCTGCACAACTAGGTGATTCTGTACTTTGAGTTATATACTGAAAACATTGTAAAAATATTTAAATATCATATGGTGATGCTTTTTAGGATTTTTAACAAAAAATGAAACTACCCATTATGATTATAAAGGTTGCTTCAGATCTGCACAAGTGAAAATAAACCCAGCTTAAATTATGGCATTTTATGACATTTCTAGGGCTCATTAAACAAGTAGTTCTTTTTAGATATTTTAAGACTTTGTCATGAGTTTTCTTTTCCAATGAAAACTTGGTAGGTATAACATTGCTGATGTAATTGTCTAACTATTAACATACTAAAAATCTAGGTCGAGCAAAGCCATAAATGATATATCTGGATAGACAGTTATGTTTCACTAACTTCGATCAAATTTGTATGAAGTTTATGGACGCATGAACGATTTACAACACCTAAACAACATTGTTGGATTCTCTTCTTTGTAAAACTTAATGGTGCAAGAAAGTAAGTTTTAGTCATAAATGCTCTACAAGTGGTTGTAAACGTGAGTAAAAGGACAGAAAGATGTGTAATGTGATAAACAGACAGTTTACATAGGAAATCCTCCCACACTTGAAATCAGCTAGTAATCCATGTCCATGACAAGGCAGTTATCATTGTATGTATGCAGTCAAACCTGCTAAAGAAACCACATGTACCTGGGTATTTGAGTCTGTTTTTAAACTTTCCACTTCAGTTATTTTCATGTTAACTATAACCTGTATTAAGAGACCACCTACAATAATTAAAACACTGCCTTGTGGATTTCCAGAAGGAGGTGGTTTCTGAATATAGGTTTAACTGTACAAGGAAACCTTTCTCATAGTTTGCACTTCTTGCCGTTCAAACTGATAGCAGAGTCATCCTGACAAGACCACAGACTGAATAGGTTTTTCAACATAGTATTTTCACTGTGAAGGTTGAAGTTCCCACCGGGTAGATTCATATTTTTCAAATATTTCATTAGGTGAAATTTTCTGATTTCCAGTAGTTATACCACAATCTTATTTTTATACAATTAGCTTTACTTCTCAAGACAACCATGATTTATATTCACCTTTCTGTTCCTTAGGTAACCAAATCTGTGACCTACTAGTCTATATCACTACACCAGTGACCAGCTGCTTCATGGATACTGTATAACGGACATTTTTTTTCTGGCTTTTTATTTTCACCTTTTTACTCTTCGTCATTAAGGCAAATTTACCGTTACAGTGAACGTAATATACATAGTCATTTTAACGGAAAACCAAATTTACATTAGGCGAAAATTGAGTTAATATGGGAGAAGGGCGAAAATTTCCCGCACCGGTATACAGTACCACAACACCACACAATTGTTTTTGAAACTTATTTGCTGCATCTGAGATAAAAGGTTAAAAGGTCAAAGGAGGTGCAATGACCTGATTTTGGTACAGGTTACAGTGCCTTTTACATTGAGTACCTACTTACCAAATCTGATGTCCACAAAAGACCAAATCGGTATGGACAGACAAATGCACATGCACAAGATGTTATATACCAATGGATTTGCTTGGAGCAACATAATCTATCAAACTACAGCACCAATGCACAAAAGTACTTTACAAACGTACAAAAATACAACACATATGTACTAAAGCACAAAAATATACCAAACTACAGCACATTACCTCACTAAAACACTACTAAAACTGACTTTCAGTGCTGTATTGAAGTGTTATTTTACGGGTATGTATGTACAATGTGTGTACTCTATCAATTAGGGCTGATTTCAAGGAGAACTGTTTATTGTACTGACGATTGACATTTAGACTGTTTTGTGATCTGGAGCCAAGTCGTTAATGTCCTACCTGTATAATCATCCTGTTTATACATAATGCATGTCTATAAATAACATTCAACACAAATACACATATTTATTTTACTCCCTATAAAGCGATAGACTTACACAATAAAGTACAAAATAAGGTATTTTATGTTTCAAACTAATCAATTATAAATAGGTTAAGAGGGTAAATATCCATTATTTAAGAGTGACGAAGTCACTTCCACTTTATGGGTTAGAAACGTCAGGGGTTAACTTTGTTCTACATACATATTGGATGTTTCTTATCCGACACCTACCTCAGGTAGGACAGAAATTTCCTAATCCGACAGTTGTACTTTAAGCTTGATAATACACTCCTGTGAAGCTAGCAGCAGAGACACACCAAAACAGGCAGCTGTACTGTTTCATTATACAATTGCCAATTTCCTATAAATCTAAGTCAATTGTCCTTATTTTATCTAAGCTTGATATAATCATATTCCTAGATAACACAATTTGACCTGTGAGCATCTAATTCAAACATTTTCGGACAATATTTGATTTTTTTTAGACAAAATTGTAAATGGGAAAGGTAAATAAACAGGTTCATTGGCTATTAATGGATAAGTAACATCAGGGGGTCATGTTATATGCAAATGTTAGCTCCAGGGTAATATTTCTGCAGCAGAGACAGGCATCACACTATATATGAATGTTCAGTTAATATGGGGATCAAATTATCTTCAAATGTTGATGAAGATGTGGGTTGAATTATCTATTCAGTGGTCAGGGACCAAGACATAGATATTTTCAAGGTTAGGTATCACATCTACAGGTAAAAACATATGTGCAGTAAGATCAGAGGTCAAAATATGTTCAGATTAATCATCCACAAATATTCAGTGAAGTCAGGGGTCGAATGATCACAAATGTTCTGTTAGGTCAGGGTCACATCATTCTCAAATGTTCTGTAAAGACAGACATTACATCATCTATTCAGTCAGTTCATGGGTCAAATTATTTATAAATGTTCATCAAGGTCAAGGGTGAACTTATCTACAAAAGTTCTCGATGTTCAATAGGGTCAAGGGTCAAACTATTAACAATTTTAGTAAAGTCAGGAGTCAAGTTATTCACAATGATAAGTAAAGAGCACCAGGGTCAGTTTATTAAATTATAAGTCAAGATTGGGGTAAAATTATCTACAAATGTGAAGTAAAGACAGGGGTTACATTATCCACAAACATCAACTCAGACAAGGTTCTGCTAGAACAGAATTCATAGCATGTATGTGAATTGCCAATGCAGATCATTCTTGATTCACTTGCACAGTTTTTGCACGTAACCAGGGAATCATCGTGTTCACAAAATTGATGTTGTCACCACAGATGCAGCTCATTAGCCCCTCAGCTGGCACAGCCATGCAGAGAGATATATTATTTTTCTTAACTAGGCCTCCTAATGAGATAAAATAAATTACAACAGATCTTTTTCCAGGTCATGAATTTCTCACCGAGAGTCACACATAATATATTATAATCAAAGCATCCTTTCATTTCTATACAAAACAAATATTGTGCATGACTTTCCTACCAATTTAAGCTTATATTAAGGACACAATTATTTACAAACATTCAAGCCTCTAGTCAGTTCTTTGATTACTCGGATGATCACACAACACAACAATTCTACCATCATATCAACTGACAAATCCTGGTTGTTCCCACAGACAATGCCAAGTCATTAGCGAGTAATCATTAGCATGCAAATTAACTAGAACTGATTTTAATATTATTATGCCGTTCAGCTAGAACAGAAAACTGCTTACTTATTTGTCACCTGTTTACATCCTTAAGCACCAGACCTCTCCTTCTAAGCTGTCAGCACGATTAAATGTCAGAGTACTATCTGAATGTAGACAGATTAATTATGTTACTTATCTATAATCGGGATTGTGAATGATCCCGGCAAACATTTAGAAAAACCATTACACACAGCTGTAACAAGAAACACTGTGAATAAACAAGCTTCTACTGTATATTTGGAATCAATGGATGGCCTAGTAAAGCCGGGGTAGCAGGAGCTGTCGAGATCAATTTTCCTAGCAATAATGTTATCTAATGGGAATTAGAACGCCAATAGGTTTTGTCGTATTGACAATAAACATGTAGATGATACAGTCACGTGTACAATAAACACAGCTAAACGATAAACACATGGGCACCATCGTCGTTACCTTTGCGATTTATTCCGAATTTGATATCAGCCGCAGGGCGGTAATTAGTGCGAAAATCTCTCCATCAAAATCTGGGTCATTGCAGTGGTGCATAATGAATGCAATGCAGTGTCATAGTGTAAGGGCATCAGAGAAGAAGCACCGACTGATGAAGAATCGTGGCAGTTGTAGGTGTTACCTGTGACATCCATGCGATGGTCCCCCTCATGCATGTCCACATACAAACGTTGTAATACTATCCCCTCCCGGAATCTGTCTTTCATTTCCTTTCCTTCCAATTAAAAAAGGTTTCACACTCCCGTGATGCCCACTGGAGCACAGAGGTTTTAAAAGCAGTCAAATATCATCACAAGTAAGAGGCGTCGTCAACATTCCACACACAAATATATATATACACATTGTAAATATATCAACGTGTTAAAAAAGAGTAAGATTTTCCGTCACTTTACCTAACAGGCAAACCTATACTAATCCCCTTCAGTACAGAAACGATATTTCAGAGGATACCTTTAGTTCTGACATGGCTATACTACAAATCCAGTGCTGGAATTTCTAGGAGACCGACTTGTTTGTAAGCGAGGATGTCTCCCGATTTCTACGTGCCGCTAGTACAATGAATGTGCCACTATTTCTATCCTTCCTACAGGAAGATGTGGAAGTCCCTGTTACACAACTCCTTGAAGTTCCATACAATCCCCATTCAACATTGCATACAAAAGGCTCCTCACACCAGCTAAGGCCTATTGAGTAGAAACGTCATGGTCCGGCGATTATGTTAAATGCTAGTCCATAAACACCACGAAATACGCGGTACACCTTTAGAGGGGTGTATCGTACTCACCACTTAAAGCTGGGTGACTGACCTTGAGTTTTAAAACCAAATATCGACAAAACGAGGAGTAATATTCTGAATTGCACACGATCGATTAATTGCACAACTTTGCAGGAAACATGCGCTAAAATTTTAACCTCTTTTTCTCACGCAGTCGTTTGTTCGAGCGTGTGCAGGAGTGTGGTGTGTGTGTGGTTGCACTCACAACTGACAACAACTGTTAATGGGTGTTGTTATTCAGAAAACATTTGTAGCACGTTTTCTATTGAGCTCGACATAACCTACAAATGCAAAATGGATTTTTGACACATTGTGTTACAACACACTAGCTATTTCGGTATGCAAATTATTGTTTATTCTGATAAAGCTGACGTTTATTCCAATTCCATGTTTTTAGAGCCGATAAATATATCACGCCCTGGGTGATCTAGCATATCAATACTGCCGTAACGTGTACAACATAACCTACTTTAATGCAATTAAAATGATAAATATTCAAGGAAATGTCCTCTCTTTAATCAGATAAAGTCTGTCGTCAAGAAAAACCATTATGTGACTTCCGTGATAAGGCTTTATCAGTATCAAAGCAGGCTTTTGTCAGTTTTTTACAAGCCTAATTGACTGAAGAACATAATATCAAAACAAAATTCATTATTATCTTTGTAGGTATTTTTTGTTTTCTACAAAATATTTTTACTTTCTACCAGTAATTATCATTGATAATGAAATCATATACGGACAAAATAAAAAAATCTGAAACAACCGTTGGATTTCAAAGTTAACACACAAAACATTAATTCAACAGATTTTAGAAAATGAAAGAGTTCCATGATTCAATGCTGAACAACACCAATATTGCCGATTTTATGTCATAATAATCCAAGTTTTGAGTCACATAGTATTGTAGGTAATCAGAGATATGTTGCATATATCTGCTTTAAATCAGTTTATTTTTCAATTTTCCTTATTAATCTACTCATTTTCTAAAAATTCAAATGATAAAAATCCTTTAAAAAATACAAAGAGATGTTCTGAACCAGGGCAGGGATCATTCTCAACTTAATGCTGAATCACTAATGTACTCTAAATGAAAAAAGTTTTGCTGCTTTGATTAAAGCTATTCATTAAAACGTTTTGACTGTAAAGGAAAAACAAACATTACAGTGAGATGGATGCATTTCTAGCGTGCACGCTGCTGACATTGTCAAACCACCTCCAGCGTGGAAAACATGTTTATAGGTAAATTCAGTCATGTAATCCAGTCTCAATCAGGCGACTTTGCCTGTGTCATGCAATGCAATACTTGTATGAAATGAAGATCTAAGGAAGGGGTTTCATGACACATGTATTACTGTGCAACAGTGAAATGTAATCCAGATAATATTGAAGAAAAACACAATCTGGCTTGAACAATATCCCCTGAACAAAAAAGTGACTTTTCAAACAAGGGGTAGCACCAACCCTGTGACTATTCAATTTTAAAACATTTACCAAGAAATATGTCAAATATATGGTGTCAGACAGAGGCAATCATGTAATGGTTAAGTTACTATCTAATCAACAGGTATATAACAAACTAACAGGTATATAACAAATCAACAGGTATATAACACACTAACACAACAACAGGCCTAGAACACACTGACAAATCAACAGGTATATAACAAACCAACAGGTATATAACAAATCATCAGGTATATAACACAATTTCACAACGACAGGCCTAGAACACACTAACAAATCAACAGGTATATAACACACTAACAAATCAATAGGTATATAACACACTAACAAATCCACAGGTATATAACAAATCAACAGGTATATAACACACTAACAAATCAACAGGTATATAACACACTAACAAATCCACAGGTATATAACAAATCAACAGGTATATAACACACTAACAAATCAACAGGTATATAACACACTAACAAATCACCAGGTATATAACACACTAACAAATCACCTGGTATATAACACACTAACAGACCAACAGGTATATAGCACACTAACAAACCAACAGGTATATAACACACTAACAAACCAACTGGTATATAACACACTAACAAATCCACAGGGATATAACAAACCAACAGGTATATAACACACTAACAAACCAACTGGTATATAACACACTAACAAATCCACAGGGATATAACAAACCAACAGGTATATAACACACTAACAAACCAACTGGTATATAACACACTAACAAATCCACAGGGATATAACAAACCAACAGGTATATAACACACTAACAAACCAACTGGTATATAACACACTAACAAATCCACAGGTATATAACAAATCAACAGGTATATAACACACTAACAAATCAATAGGTATATAACACACTAACAAATCCACAGGTATATAACAAATCAACAGGTATATAACACACTAACAAATGACCAGGTATATAACACACTAACAAATCACCTGGTATATAACACACTAACAAACCAACAGGTATATAACACACCAACAGGTATATAACACACTAACAAATCACCAGGTATATAACACACTAACAAATCACCTGGTATATAACACACTAACAAACCAACAGGTATATAGCACACTAACAAACCAACAGGTATATAACACACTTACAAATCACCAGGTATATAACACACTAACAAACCAACAGGTATATAACACACCAACAGGTATATAACACACTAACAAATCAACAGGTATATAACACACTAATTAATAAGCATACTTGTTCTAATGGGATTACCAGGAAAAACTGTGTTTAGATATTACTGATGCCAATGTTTAGAAGTCACCAATATCTGCATTTAGTGGTTGCAAAACCCTGTGTGTAGAGGTCGTCTCACCCTTGTCAGCTTATATTTTTAGGGAGGGAGGGGGGTCCATTGTATGCTCTGTAAGAGGTCCCTGAACCCTTTGTTTTAGTAGTCACCTAACCCCTTGATTTATAGGGTCACCTAAACTTGTATTTTCTAAATGATGTGGCCACAAGTAGGCACTAGGGAACAAGCTCTTTCACATCACTGTGAGGTTGATCTAATGCCTTGAATTTGCTTCAGCACTGAAAGGAATTTGAATATGAAATGTGTATTGGATTCATTAAACCCAGTTGAACTGATCATCAACATTTTATTTTAGTATTCTTGTAAATTATTTTAAAAGTGCACACATGCGATGCGGATTAAACTAATGACACTTGCAGATTTGCCCAGATTCGTTCGGTGATATGCTAATGGCCAAATGATCATGCTTTTATCTAAATTCTCACAGGTCCCCTTTAAACAGGATGTTTGTCAGATTTATTTTACAGGTCTTCTTCAATATGAAGAAGACCACTTGGATTTTGGCTACTTTGGGTATACTTAGTTTGGAAAAAAAAATGACTAAGATGCCTCTAGGAAAAAACAAAATATCCTTCTCCAACCATTTTTTTTTTTTTTTTTTTAATTAAACATTATCTTTCTCAGCCATCATCAACTTTACATTTCCTGTTTTTGTGTAGCAACACTGTTTATAATGCTACTTTTTGACAAACTGAACAGTTTCCTTTTTTTTTACCAGCATGCAAATAGAATCCAATACATTTTCCTTAAGGGTGCAACATAAAGACTTTTATGGAAATTTCATCAAAGAATTACATCTGCGATTAAATAATTCTATCACACGTGATTTGCAATTGGGAAAAATAATGCAGAAACTTACATCTTTTGTTTTTGGAATATCTCTAGTCAGACTGCGCACAGACATTTTTCGTACATTCAAGAAGTTTGGTCATAAGTTAGGCAGACGCTATATGACATATTTGTAATTACTTAAGAGTGTATGATACCTTACAATGTAATTTGTGTTAGAGTTAACCCCCTTGATAAAAAATCTGTGCTAACTATCATAGAGATTGCTATGAACATTCCCAAACAACCCTAGCAAACGCACAAGATACAAATTTGCAGCAGCTGTAAGTACTTGACTTTTCTTTAAATCCCAGAAATCTAATGTTTACTGCATCTTTCAAACTTTAAATCATTGTCATAATGTATTGTTATGTATTTCATGTAATTCATAGGAGTGTAAATATGTACATTCCACCATATTTGACCAAATGTCAGATGGTGGTTGACTCAACATGTTATCAAGTTAAAATAAGGATTATAATAAATATTGGGTAAAATTAATATAGGTTCATTTGACTTGTTAGACTATCAGAAATCAATGCAAACATCAAATCAGGAAAGTTACTAGTCAGCCATCTGACATAAATTATACCTTAATTGTATGCATTTCTTCCACGATGTAAAAAACAAAGTCGCACCAAGAACAAATAACCAAAAATATTTCTATCAGAGATAAATTCACCAGAAATGCCATTTGGAATCCAAAAACTTTCAAAAAAAGTCTTTTGTAAAGTATACCAATATATTGTCACTTGCATAAAGTATGAACAAATCCAGCCCACAGAATAAAGTTATAGCTATAAAATGTCCCAATTAATCAGAGGCTGTCCAATTGAAACAAGAAGTTGTGTGACGAGCTGTATCTACACATGCCCATCACTAATCAAATTGCTCTTCATTTGAGTCTGGCTGGTAATTGTTTAAGTAAAGTGTTAAACAAGTTGATGGCAGAGGAAGAAAAAAAGCAGGATAATAAAACTGTATACAGGATTTTTTAAAACTTTGGTGGTAAAATTTGTTTTCGCCCAAAAAGACAATCTCCCTTCACATTACTTTATACCATGTATGTTCTATTGTTTACAAATGTTCGCTGTAATGATAATTTTACCTTCATTACAGAGGGCGAAAAAAGGTGAAAATGAAACTGCAGCTAAAATTCTCGGTATACAGTACCACTTTGTTAGAGACTCTTCATTGTTCAGAACTACTGCAGTGTTCATAATATCTCCATTCCTGCGACATTACAAATGTGTCATAACGTAA